ATGCTTGTGTTCGTCGACTGCTCCTTTATTTTCTCGCGAGACCGACGAGTCGAAAGAAGAGACGTGCGAAGAAACGTTGTTGCAAATGCGTCTCCCACGACGAAACAGACGTTTCTATACGATGTGCTGCGATTCACCATTCCTGCGCCAGCTTTAGCCACATTTTCTACGCCGCGCCGTAAGGCTCATAATCACAGAGATAAGGCTCGATCGAACATCCCTCAGCATTCACGCGATGGACCTACAATTGTATTTTTCTGACGCGTGATTGCGAGAAGCAATTTACGGTAAAAGGGATATATTATATTAATAATGCTCTTTTTTTCTCATCGTATGCTAACGAGAGAGAAAGGCCTCATGTTCTTTCTCTCTCGTGCACATGCAAACTCTTTCGACTTTTTTGGCCTCCTCTCGTTGACGTCTTCATTTGCAACGCCGGCTGTGCACGAGCTCTTTCCTCGCGACGTAAAAAGTGATGAAACGCGAAAATTCTTGACGCGATTGATTTACGGTCACGCGTCGTGCAGTAAAGGTGTTACAAAAATGAAGAGGTTAATACATGCGGTGCTTTTGTTACTCCGATTAACTCTGGCGCCTTCTTACATTTCCCTTAGCAGCCTCCGCCGAGATATAGTCGCTTTTTCGTTGTATTGTGCACGCTTTCTGTTTGTTTCCTCTCATAAAAAACAATCAAGCGCGACCACATCGTGCCGGATAAAAAACAGTAAATCTCGATTATAAATGATGAGGAGTAGAAAATCGACTGAATCGTTACTGACCTGACGCAAAGGCAAAAAATAATAGATCGACTGTATAGAGATTATATCTCAAAACTTTCACTCTCTCTATTCCATTTTGCTTCACTTTGTGTTCCATCAATAATAAAAAATTCAAGTTCACTTTTAAATTTATCATGGGAATCACCGTCCGCAATAATAATCATTTATCAACGATGTTTCGATAAGTTTGACCGTGTGAGTAAATTTTTGTTATATTCCAATATCAATATAGCATAATAATAGTCTATATAAATGGATTATACTCTTGACGTTCTTACCATAATGATTATTTTTTATTCGATTCTCTCTCCACGGAGCGTAATTCCGGACCTCGGGAAAATTTCAGGGTTCTCCAACGACTTTTGTGTTCCGATGCGTATTCCTTTAATACGGTTAACCGACAAAAATTATCAATACAATCCACATATCCTCATCTCACGGTCATCGTTTTCCCAATTCATTAATTATCTTGCGCGGCTACCTGGCCTGGTCGGAATCATCAACCGCAACTTCGTGGGCTGTGATGGCCCGCGGTTAGGAGGACTGGATACAAACTTACACAAGCACACGAAATATATACTTGGTACTTCCGTATCAACGATCGTATAATCCGTCATACGTTACTTGCAATATTTAGTATTTTTATGTCTAAATAAATTTACAGTATATTATTTCCGATAATTAACACCTTTGTTTTCGCATCTATAATATATACAGCGATTTTAATTTTTTTAGATACATGAAACAAACATGTTTATAAATGTTATAATGAACATAGAAGATAGATTTAGATTAGAAAATTAATATGAAACGATAAAGCTATATAAAAAACGGCCAATTTTAATTACATAATATACTATTTTTAATATTAATCGTAATTACTAGGCAAATTAGCAATAACGCCAGTTATTAAGTTCTTCACCATCCATTGATAACATCTAATTATGAATATACAAGTAACGCCATCGTCAAAAGAGAGATACCTATTCATAGTAATCTATTCTCCCTATCAAACCATCAACAAAACGTAACTGCTCATTAAGTACTCATGCGCGCCGGCAGCAATTAAAATCTTATATATGCGTGACTCCCGGAAATGTGTAAAGCAATTCTACAAGCACATCGGATTACTTCTTCAAGCTAAAAGTATAGTAGGACTCATAAATTAGACGAATAATAAATGAGAAAACGTCAAATATATGAGTCAGGTGCGATATTTAGGTACGCAATAGTAAGTTAACACAAATCAGTTAATAATTATAAGTATAATTAATCAAATTGTACGTTCGTAATAAATATCATTAATCAAATTAACTTTTCAGCAAGGTGATGATATAAATACATATGGGTATATTTTACTGTGTATGAATATATCCTTCTCCGAATTAAAAACGGAACAAGTATAAGATCCACGTATTCTGAACGTCGGCCAATATCAACGAGCATCCAATATCTATATAGATATATTTTTATTTTACCGTAGTCGTACAATCGAAGTATCATTTCTCGCTCAATCGATTGTTTCGGGGAACGCGCGTATTTCTGGAATTAGGGGCAGGCCGAATCTTGACACGAGACGACCGAGACTTACTTTTACGCTATTATTTTTGAGCGTGAAAATTGTCGCGGACACGACGCGACAACGAGAATCGGGATGGTTCGGGATGGTCGACGCATGATATTGAAGCGATGTCGGGTCACTATTAGCCGGGTTTTATTGGTACACGGGCCAGCCGTGTGCCGGCTGACCTACGACCGCCAACAGTTAATCAATGCTTTTATGAGCATTCGCTTGGCAGTACACCATCGTTTCAAGCCGCGGCCCGTTCAGCCGAACCCACCCACCCATCCACCCGACCGACCGACCGACCAACCAACCACCCATCCAGCCACCCAACGAGGGCGACACGCTTCCCACTCCTCTTTTCTCTCTCTCCCTCTCTCTTTTCCGCACGTGTACGTATGTCGCATGCTCTTCGAGCAACTACCCAAAATTTACGTTACCACCACCACCGAGACGCCTCTATCCGTTTAAACGACCGAACGATTACGCCCGTCGACGTAATGTATTAGTTATAACGCGCGAGCGTCGCCGATGAATCGAGTTCATTCGCCCAGCTCGACCACGCTCGGACATCGGTGACGTGTTATATATTCGGGTGCTTGAGGAGAAAGTCGAAAATTTATTAACAGTAAATTCGCTCATATTTGAGCTAATGCTCGTCATACTCGCCCAAACGCCCAAACCGACCGGATAATTGACTTAGTTCGCGCGCTAATAAACAATTCGATATGCATTAGGTCACGTAATATAAATTACGCCGGGTCAATTTGATTAACGCCTTCACGATCGATACATCGAACGATTACACAGATTCGGTTTCTCGAAATTACGGATTTGAGTCATCTTGCGATCCGAATCGAATTAAAAATAGGAACCGTCGATAAGCTTGTGATTCAAATTCGTCATGATGCGGCTATATAAACGCACAGCTGCCGCTTTTGGGGAAACCTCCTCTCTTTCCACCCGCTATTCATTTCTTTTGCCGCTTTTAATTTCGTAGAGACAACATAGATGCGTATCAAGCGATGATTCTCGCACGG